TTGTAGCCTCCAGAATTTGCATGGCAACCCTTGTCTAACTTAGGATTTAAAGATCAGCCAGCATGTATGACCAGACAAGCTGCGCTAACAAAGTTAGTTTTAACAAAGCAACAAGCCGTTAGTTTTCTTAGGATGACATTAAAACAAGTGTCTAAGACCCTCATGGCCCCTTCAAACATTTTATAGCAAATCTGGATTAAGTAGCGGGAGTTCAAATTAAAATATCTGTCGTTCTTAGGGAAGGCACAAACAGCAAATTCAGCCATAGATGGTTTAGGTGTAAATGACAAGACAAGAAGCCTTATGAAATAAGAAAATTTTTAAGGAGAAAAAAAATTACTTGGCCCCCTGCCCTACTTTCAGAATTACAGTGAACTCTTAAAAGAGTTTTGACCAGGCCATTTGGACAGCACAGATGGATGAATACCAGCACAAAAGGAAAAGATGAGCTGCAGCAGTGTTGATATTGTGTAGTGCCATACAGGTACAACCAAGTTAGCTTTGATCTGGTCAGGACAATGAAGTGCTGTAGCAGCAGCTTCCATGTAGCCTGACCCCACATCTGGTGACTCAGGGGTCTGGGCAGGTGTCTTCAGCATTTCTGTCAGCAGTGTCCAAGCTAACTGGACAGTGCTGGCTTGTCTATGTGTGCTGTAATCTCAAACCAGTGTAAGTTCTATACAAAACCTTTGTAGGGGAGCTGTCAGAGGAGGAAAACCAAGTTTTTTAAAGGAGGAAAAATGTGTTCTTTTTGTTGCAGGCTTCTAATACACTGGGAATATTTAAAAACAAATGACCGAATAATAACATGAAAACAAAGTAGACAGCAGATGAGATGCAAACTAACCTTTTCCAGAGGTAACATCAAATACTACTCCCTTCACCGCCAGGTAGATGGGCTGTCCTTCCTGGAAAGAAAGCCATCAATACATCCTCAGCACTTAAGCGTAGGCAAAAGGCAGTTAGTTTTAGCTATGAAATCCATAAGCACTCAGGACATAAAGGAGAGAATTAAATTATCTGTTGTATGTTTTCTCTTGTTATGTGCATATACCAGTGTACACATTCCATCTCTTGACATTTCTTGCTTGTACTTTAAGCTGTCCCTTATTTTTTTTTTTTTTTTACATTTTAACAATATGCAATGAGAGAATCTTTTTAATCTAAACAACACAGTCATAGAAGACATCCCTCTTGCAGGTCACCTCTTGTCTGCTTGAAGCCCATCCACTGCATCTTTCTATTCCTAATGCAGATGGATATTGCCCAAAATAAAAGGGTGTATGGCCAACAACATTCTTTATTTGATTAAGAAACAACAGATGAATGCATAAACACACAAATCTAATCTGCTGACATCTGTTTTACTTAATAAGCCAGTGCTTCTGCTTTGTATTTTACACATAAGATGTATTTTTAGTCAGATGTTGATTAGTTTCTTGAAAGTATCTGGAGAAGACTCTGAGAAGGTCAGCCAGCAAGATTTTTCAGAAGAGAAGCTGATGTGTGTCAAGACAGGACTTCATAGTTTTGAATGTGAAGTTCTGCTGAGGTTTCCGCATCACAGAAAGCTAAAAACTTTTAAGCTGAAATTGCGTTGTTATTTCCATAATCTTGTAAAAAAAGGGGGGGGTGTCTAAATACATGGTTTACTGAATTACAGAGGGAAAAATATTTTGGCTCCAACTCACGGTAATCTGAAATTCCCTGGCATGAGTACCTTGCCAAGCAGGCAATGAATAAAACAGGCTCATGCCATCTAATTGTGTGCGTGCAGCATCAAAATGGGCAGCTGCCAGCCGGACAGACCAACAGAGGGACGCCTGCAAACTTCTCACGGTGCCTAAAAGGCAGGTGATCCCCAAAATTCCTGGGCCGGAGGGATCGAGGGAACAGCGCAGCAGAAGCAAAGCACGGCAAGAGAAAGAACCAGGTTTAAGGCGTTTTCAGGGCACGGAGCGGCAGGGAAGGGGAGAACGCTGGGGCTGCCGGCCGCCCCTCCGGCCGCGGCCCGGCCCGGCCCCGGCGTCCAGCACCCCTCCCGGCCGGCCCTACCTGCTGCCCGTCGTATCTGGCCAGCTCGGGCTCGGTGAAGAGCCTCACGGGGGCCTCGGCCGGCGGCCTGAAGCGCAGCTGCGGCTCGGCGGGGGCGGCCGGCAGCGCTGCCAGCAGCGCGGCCAGGAGCAGCCGCGCCGCGCCGCCCGCCATGCCGCGCAGCCCCGCTCCGCCTCCCGCCGCCCGGCCCCCGGCTCCGGCTGCGGGAAAGGACGTGGGATATGCACGTGCACCGGGCTTAAAGAACCAGGCGCGCAGTGCGCGGCGCTGCTCCCAGGAAGAGTCGCGGTGGGCTCGGCGTGCGGAGCTCTGAGGGGGCCCGCAGTGTTTAGCCTGGGGAGAAGGAGGCTCAGGGGGGAACCTTATCGCTCTCCAGAGCTGCCTGGGAGGAGGCTGTAGCCAGGCGGGAGTCGGTCTCTTCTCCCCGGTAACGAGCAATAAGACAAGAGGAAACGGTCTCAAGTTGCACCAGCGCAGGTTTAGATTGGATGTTTGGAAAAGTGCCTTCACGTAAAGGGTTGTCAAGCACTGAAACCGGCTGCCCAGGGCAGTGGTGGAGTCACCATCCCTGGAGGCATTTAAAAGTGTAGCTGTAGCACTTAAGGACATGGTTTAGTGATGGACTTGGCAGTGCTGGGTTAATGGTTGGACTCCATGATTTTAGAGGTCGTTTCCAACCTACACGATTTTATGATTCTTTTCCATACAGGATGCACAGCTGGCACTTTAACACATCTAGTAGTAAAAAGATTCCTTAATTTTCATCCTTCTTCCCTTCTGAAGTTTCTCTTCTTGCTGTTTTGAATGTTTATTCACAAACTCAGGACACACAGGATAGGCTTCATCTTTATGACTTAAAAAACCCAGACATTTTTAGCCTAAAAACAGAGAAAATAAATAAGAAATTCTCAGATTACGTTTTCCCCATGCTATAAATACATATCAGGAAAACATTAATGCTGGCAGAAAAATAAATAGCTTGATGCTTATAATTCCATATAGAATTAAGAAAATTAGAAACGTTTTACAATTCAGATGCATATATCCCATCCCTCCCTGCAGTGCTGGCAAATGAGGACCTGAATGATTTAAAGCCTGGATACTGCAGCACTCGGGCTTCCTGACTACTGTGCTGGAATTCAAATCCATGCTTGGTCAATCTCCACAAGTTTTGTGAAAGCTGAACAGTTTGGAGAAGGATCTGAACAGTAAATAGGAGGTAAGAATGGGTTTGGTGTTTATTTTAAGGATTGTTTATAAACTCTTGCTGTGTAAAATCCATATGTCTGCCTTGGAGGACACCTGTTCCACATTGCCTGAGGTAACGCTCTTGACCAAAGGAAATTCTGTACATTGGTGTAAGCAGAGCTGAAATAGATAATCCAAAGCAACTTCCCATAGTTCTCTTCTGGATGACAACAGCAGCACAAGATGAGAAGCACAGGGGACTGAGGGCATGTCTCCACAGTATGGAGGTGACAACCAATGGGCCACACTCCCGTATGAAGAGTCAGGCGAAGCCTGCAGAGCCAGGGCATAGGGAAGCCAAGTTGCTGTGGCCATCTGGGAGCTGACTGCCACAGGCTGCCATCTGGTGTGGCAAGCTGAGTATTGGTCTTGTTAGGGTGAAGTTTACAAGGTTGTTACTGTGATTCTCCTTAAGCAGTGAAGTTTGCCTACACTGCCTGAATGATAGCTTGGCTTCAGAATGGGCTTCCCATTCTGTCTGCCCATCACGTCCATTTGATGACTTCACATGCCACAAGACAGGTATGAAATGTCAAGCAGAAAAGAGACCTCTGTTAAGGCTTTGGACAAACAGCTTGTGAACGCTCCTGTTATGTACGAGAAAGAGTTCTGGCATTTGCCTGGTTGCTCTGTCTGCAAATCTCCCACATGCTTCCCCAGAGCTGCTGGGAAAGATGCAAAAGTCTGATTTGTCAGTTTGGTTCAATCACATTATAGATTTACCTTTTATTCTAAAATAATTATTTATTAGTGTCACCCCAGAGGAGGGCTGCAAGTGCTGAATACTAGCTAGCATCTGTCTGAAATGTGATTTCGGGCCTGTCTTTGAACGACAACCTTCTGAAAAATAACAAGAACTAAAAATGTTTTCTTTCTGAAAGGAGAAGCTGTTATTGTCGAAGGACTTCAAACCTTGGTTATTAACTTACTAGGTGTGGGTCTTGGGTATAGGGAAATGATCTACTGAGGAGGGAATCCCCTGCAGTGCTGCATCTCAATGCAAGAAATGTTGTGCATGCTTTTTCTTGATGATGAAACATTAACAATTACTTCCGTGCTGATGAAGAAAAAAAATAGCCGTGTAAATATTTGTGGACGGGTGGGTCATGAGTCAGCTCTTAGGCTTTTATCTTCCTGAAGTGCCCCACTGCTACGGGCACAGCGTTGGTGGATCATCCTAGAAGCCCTGCAGAAGTTTTGTCTGGTTGCCCAGCAAGTCTGTTGTTTCAGTGTTCTGCTAACCACCTCGGACAGAAGAAAATAAAAATAAAAAGTAAAAAAATTTAAAAAGTAGTATTTTGTGCAGTCTGGGGAGAGCTGACAGAATTATCATAACTGCTTTTCCGACCTAGCTCCTTCTTGTGTTAGCAGAAGTGCATGTTGTAGAAAAGACTCATCTCCCCGTCACTACACAGTACTACACACCTCCTGGCAGAGAGAAATGTTCTAGCAAACCCTACAAAACCCCTCTCACGCGTGAGCCGTGCTGCTCGCCCCCCACCCGGCCCCTCACGGCGTCTCTGCCCGGACTACGCCTCCCAGCAGCCCCGGCGCGGGGCGGGAAGCAACCGGGAGGCGGGAAGCAGCCGGGGGATGGGCGGAGCGTCCCGGCGCCTGCGTGGCCCTGCCCGGCCAGGGCGGCTCGGCTCGGCTCGGATTGGCTTGTTCCGTCCCGTCCCGGGCGCGGTGTCGCTGCCCGGCCCCGTGCGGTGCCGCCGGGTGCCGCCCGGCCCCCGCGGCGGCCGCTCCCGCCGATGCCATGCTAAAGACAGAGGTGTCCGCATCCTACCAGGAGGTACGGGGGGGCCGGGGCAGGGCTGGGGGCCGGTGCGTCCCGGCTGGCCGGTGGTGCCGGACCCAGGGCTCGCCGCTTGCCCCGCGGTGACACCCGGCGCTGTCGCCGTGAGCTCGCTCAGCTCCGGGCTGCGGCTCCGCCGGGTACCTGCGGCGTCGGGGGGCACCTGCACTCTCCGGAAAGGAACGGGGGGTTTGGGTGAGCGTAATCCCGTGTTTCATCTCTGAACGCGGTTCGAATAATGGGCAGCGGTTGTGTTCAGGGCATGAGGTAGGTGCAGCTGGCCGGTGGAGTCTGTAGCCGGGGTTTGGTAACAAGGGGATGGTCTGTCGGGTGTGAGAAGCGGCTTTGGTACCAGAGCTCCCGCGTCCGAAACTGAAGGCCTCTTTATCACCCTGCCAAGACCCTGAGGCAGAGCCTGGTTTGCATATCAATGTACAGGCTCAGCAACCGGAATTCCTTGCTCCTTCCTATCTCTCCTATTAGAGATACAAGCTATTTGTGCCAAGTTCAGCAGCGGTAGAGAGTTACAGCAGGGCACTTTTCTTTTGCCTGCAAGATACAAACAAGTGTGGATATTTTCCTTCCTCTGCACGTGACGGGTACTTTGGAGCTCAGTTTTAATACGTTCTAATTTAGTTTAGTGCCGTCTGTTTAGTTTCAGCTTCTGGTTTTCGTGCCAGGCTAGAAAGCATTGGAAGGTGATGAATCAGCAGACCAGCAAAAGGCCTGTGTGACCAAGTTCTGCTTTTATTTAAGAGGTTTTTATCCAACAGGAAGATTTATCAGGATGAACTTGACTTGTGTGCTTGTACACAGACGATGCACTTGGGAGAGTTAGAGAGAGTTAATGACATGCACTGATGCCTGAAGTATGGACTGGACTATGCATGTTATGTGTATCAGCCACCACTGACACTGGTCCATACATTTGGGATTGTCCCAAACTCTATGGCACAAGTCTAGATGGTATGTGTCTAAGTGCAGCACCTGTGATTCCATCCCTTCTCCAGTGCCTGCAGCAGTCTTTGATGCTTCTACCTCAAGCAGGGATGCTCAAATGTCTGGAATTGCCTTTTCTGAGCTTCCCTTTATCTAGTACTTTTCTGTGTGCAGATCTGAAAAGGAACTGCTGGGACATGGGCAAGCTTCCTCAGTTGTTTCACACTTAGCTGTATGTGCTGAGCCCAGAGGAATGCTGAACAAAGTCTATTTCATGCCCTTCCTGCCCCTGACATCCTATCCTATCTCTGAATCCTATTGCGAGCTTAACTGCCCTGCAATTTATGTTCCTTCTATAATAGCACCATGCTTCACTTCTTTATCAAAAATACAGTGTAGGAAGAGCTGGCCTGTGAGGGTGAACACAGCTGCTGTGCTCCAGGTTCACTGTTGACAGAATCTCCAAATCCAAGACAAGTGACAAGTGTGAACAAACCAGAATCAGCTGTCACACAGTAATGCTGTGCTGGCTCCGCAGTCATAAGGAGAGTGTGTCTGTGACTTGTTGGGTTTGTAGGTCTGTGCTGCAGTGCCTTGTAGACACAGTGTGCTGTGTGCCCTACGCTCTGAACACAGGGGCAGAGCCATGGACAGTGTGAGGCTCTTGGTCACCTCAGTGGCTGTGTGCAGCTTCACCTCTTGTCAGTTCAGGTGTTCAGGATCTGTGATAAAATATAGTTGGTTTTAGAGAAGGGGTCTTACACATCAACCTACTTACTACACCTGAGGCAATGTTAGTACTCCTGCTTTTGACTGACTGTCCTTACTGGCTTTCCTTCTCTGGTTTTGTGTGGGAAAAAATTATGAAACTGTGTCTGCCTTGTCAGCCAAGATAAGAAAACATAGTTGCATATTGTTTGGGTTTTTTGTTTTGTTTCTAAGGGATGCTGAAAGTCTACATTTTCTGAGCTTATCACAGAATCATTTAGGTTGGAAAAGACCTCTAAGATCATCTTTTTTCTACTTGTTCGAAAGATTGCTAAAGGCTCTCTTGAGAGAATAGGAAATGTTGCATATTGTAGTGTTGTTTAAACTTGTGTTGGGATCTCTTTGCTGTTAGGAATAGAATTCACTTACCCTCTAAATAACCTCAGTCAATGAGGTGCCTGTACCTGGGGAATCAGAGAGGTATGGGAGTCAGCTGAGAAACTGCGGTGACTTGGTAACTTACATTAATTTTTTGGACCTCTGGTATAAGGAATTAGTATGAGTATAATTGGAACTGGCTTCTTAGTTTATTTAGCTTAATCAGTACAAGAGGTTCAGTGAGTACTCTTCTTGTGTCAGAATGGCTTATTTTGGGTCAGGTAAACAAATAGAACTGGCACGTTTCTACAGAAAGGAGCAATGTGCTAATTTTCCCTTATTTTATGAAGATAATTGAAAAAAATATCTTCAGTTGGACCCTGGTAAGTCTCCTGCAAATGAGCTGAGTTTAGCCTGTTAGATACCTGTTCACATCATGCCACAGGAAATCATGCTTTATTTATGTGCTAAGCATTTAAAAACAACTGGGTAACTGCTTTCATCTGGCTTTGCATGGTGGAAACAAATACAGAAACACAGCAGGAGGTGATGGAGACTTTTGTCAGACTTTGAAGATGTAAAATGAGTGGATTGTTTCCTAATAGGTGCTAATGATGATTTGGTAATGATATAATGATGATTTCAATACTGAATTAAAGTTGGGTGAAATAAAAGCACTTCCTTATGGATACATGCATGTTACTGTTGAGTAAGCTAGGGGTGTAAAGTTTATAGCATTCAGTATGGCTGCTGCATTAACTGTGCCCCCATTTTTTTTGAAATAGGAACAAAGTTAATCTCCCTTACCCAATTAGATAGGTGATGCTGAATGTTTAGCTTGGACAGTTACTGTGCAACACATGATGTGCTGCAAGCTTGTGTGCCAGTTTGCCTTGCTCTAATCTGTATGTCAGTCCCTGCCAGAAAAGAAATTTGGAAAACACACAGGAGATTATCTATCTATTTATCTATCTATCTATCTGTCTAATGTATAAAAACTGTTTTTCTTCACAATCTCACATGATGCATATCTGATGTGACAAGCTTCTGACTCTGACGCAAGTGTCTTGGCAGTTTGGGCCCAGAGCTCTGAATAGCTAAACAAGAAAACATCTGGTCTCTGTTGCTGTTTCAGAAACACCGTAAGACTAATTAGTTGCATAACCACTAATATATAATAATCTGTACAGTGAAATCAAATAAGTACCAGAAATATAGGGATGTTTGACTGTCGTCTCATAATGACCTACCTATGTGGCTGAGACTGCATTTGAGTGACTTGCCTTAACAACTGTCAAAATGCATCTCGTGCTTTTTGCACCTCTTTATTAAGAAGTGCTAATACTCTGTTTGCTGGTATGTGCTGTGGTTTGTTTATACCTGAAAATACGTTCTTCAGTGACAGAACAAAGTTCCTGCTTACATCAGAGGACATTGTCCTAATTGGAGGTTTAAAATGGGTTGGAGCTGCCAGGGAAATAATTACTTGGATCTTCAAAGAAAAGGTGGTGTTATTGTTGAAGCAGCAAGGTAGAAGTAGGTTAAATTTAATGTGGTGTCTTTCTCTTTTTGCAGTGTGCAAATCACTTAATTTTTAGCTGTAGGTTTACGTAAATGTCACTCTTGTCTGGTGAACAAGTGGAAGAGATGCTGGGTGCTCTTGGACTGGGGACATGTTTTTGTGTGTTTGGTTAGTTGGAGCCTCTTTTATTTGTACCGTAGAAATTCCAGCAATTGCAAGTTGAGAGCATGTTTGGAAATTGAACCACTCTTTTAACTACACAGCTGAGTGAAGATGTGGAGCGAGTATCTGAAAACCCAACAGATGAGAGAGAAGGAGAGATGGAAGTTCATGAAGATGCCAGCTCTGTTATTTTACCAGGTGAGAACTGTTGGCCCAGAAATTATTGATTCTTGATGCCTAATAAACTACTGCTATATGTGGCTTTGGTTATTTTGGTTTTGTTATTTTATTGCACTTCTGAAAACAAACAAAACACTGAATTATTAATTTTTTGTGAATCAGTAGTGATAGAAAGCCAAGGAGGTTTTCCAAGGACTAATGTGAGAATATTTCTTTGTCGTGAACTGTGCTCAACCAAAGAAGATCCAGCACATCTGGCTCTGAGGTAGCTTAGTATGTCATCTTCCTTTGCATTGTGTCTGACTTCAGTTGCAGTATCTCTGGTGGCAATGGGTTGCAAGCAAAGTCTATACCAGCTTTATATGAGCAAGATGCAATATTGAACAGATGTGCTTTTAAACAGATTTTTAGTAAGACTATTTGGGCCTGCTTTTGGAGAGTGTTAAATGGGCTTATTGCAGCTCACGTGTAGGCATTAAGGTAAGCCAACCTGAAAGGAGTATGGCCTCAATGTCTTGCAGCCGTTCAAGACGTACTTGTTTCAATAGTGTAATTTTATGCATATCAATGTCCTAATTAATTAGCCTTGGCTGCCATCTCCTAACATGTAACTTGGAAACATATGTGTGACCACAGACCTTTGTAAGAGGTTATGTGTGCAATAGGATTTACTAAAAAGCTTGTGTTTGCTGTGGGAAGGAGCAAACACCAAACGGTGCCATTAGAGTTGAAGAGCAGCATGTGGGACGGCCTCAGAGGGCCTGACTCATTAAATTACCCCACACAGAACAGTCAGCATGAAGTATGGCTACTTATCTCCTTTCTTGTGTTGGGTTTTAATGCTCCTTTTTTGTGTTCAGCTATATCTCCCTCACGATCAAAGCATGATGTGTAACTTGAAAGTACATGAGGTTTTTCCTTAGAAGTATTTCCAAAAGAAATGGCAAATGCACAGAGTATGGGGAAAGCAGTGTCTGTGTGAGAGTGAGACTGGTCTGAAGATCTTCAGAGAGTAAGGTTTGAAGGCAAGGAGACTATAGAAGAATTGGCTCAGACTTTTTTTAGCTGTAATTGGGAGAATCCTTTTTTGAAATTTTATGTAGAATGCACAAGGAGTTATGAACTGGAGGGTAACAAATATCTTGTGACTTCTGCCATGGTGGAGATGCAATGCAGAGAGCTGGGCAAGAGCATTAGAGTATTAAATCATTCTGCCAATGCATATGCTGAGTGTGTAAGAATCCCCTCAGACTGGGAGGGCGGGGAAGGGAGTTGTTTTTTCCGGAGGCAAAGATTGACCATCAACAGACTTTTTCTTATGAACTTTGAACTTTGTTTCTGAGTTGTTCTTGAAAGTAAACCTTTTTTCCTGACTGTGGTGTCCTTAAGCTGAGTGCCACATTCTGACCTGTGAGAAAGAGGTACAATCTTAGGATGCTTATATCTCATACTTGAGAAGGAAGCATCTGTTTGACTAATCATCAAAGCCAGCAATAGCTGTGGCTTTTTATGTCAAGCTGAGTTTGAGGCTTACTTTCCTCTCTAGTGATTTATCTTTAAATGAAAACTTTGTAAATTCAGCCCAAATATCTGTGTTTTAAAGTCCTAATCCATATTCTGTTTGGTTTTAGATGGTGAACTGGGTACCACTACCCCTTCTTTGCGTTTCAGCAAGACCTGCTTAAAGAATGTTTTTTCAGTAATTCTCCTCTTTATGTATCTGCTGCTCATGGCTGTAGCTGTGTTCCTTGTCTACCAAACCATCAGTGACTTCAGGGAGAAGCTCAAGCACCCAGTGATGTCTGTCACTTACAAGGAAGTGTCCTTGTATGATGCGCCTGGTAAGAACCGTAACAAACAAAATGGGTTAAGTTGTTGTGCACATTTTTCTTGGATTGTTAAAAATTTTTGGTGTTGATTCTCCAGGGCCCAGATTGCGTATAATACTTTGACCCAGCTCTTTCACTTCCTCTTTTTTTAATCTATGTTGTGTTGACTTTGCACAGAAATGTTGACATTGTACGGGAGATTTTGGGAGCTTTTGTGCCAATAACATGAATGACAGAAGCTGTGATGCATTATGCAACATTTGATAGATAAAAAGTGTTTTTAGACTCTAGAATGAGTCGTCTTTTAGAGAAAGAAGATAATTCCTTTTGGGAATATCCCCAAAACTGTATTGTTTAAACAGGGTAGCACATAGGATGTGTGTTAGGGAGCTCAGTGATGCACTGGACAGTGAGGTGCCATTCACAGTAAAGAAGGTGAATTTCTCAAACCAACCACAATGCCGCTTTCCGCTTCCATCCTGCATTGTTTACAAGTTCATATTACATCAGTAGGCAATGAAAATGTGATGTGACTGAGGGAACAATGTTGGCATAAAAATGCAGCATGGCAGCAGAAACTGCGTTGCAGTTTGCAAGAGGAATTACTCTACATTTTTGAAAAGTGAGTTGTATCCTTATTATTTTTTAAAATTATCCAGCAGCCATTCATAAATAGAGCCAGAGTATCAAGTGCAGCTCAATCAGTCATCGATCCTTTTCCAATTTACCAATGACACTCCAGTGTTATTAATTACAAATAACCACTCCAGTGATTGTGGCTGAAAGGAGAGTGTTTCAAAGTTGTTGCCGTATTCCTGTAGTTGTTTTTCTGTATAGTCAGTTAGGCTTAGCTCTGTAAGTAGGTCTTTGTGTTTGGACCATATGAATTTGACTGTAAGCTCAAGCAAGCTCAAGCTTTCCCTCCTTTTTATTTTTTCCACATGAGCTTTTCATACAGCAACAGGAAAAAAATTCATTTAAAGAAGCGGAGCAACATACATATAAATCCAAAAGTACTGTTGGGGATCCCTGCTAGATCAGAGAACCTAAATTAATATAGTCCTTTAGTTTATTGCTCTATTAAAGTGATGAGATGACAAGTTGCAAACATAGAGCTCTGAAGAAAGGGATAAAGCATTTATAGACTGATACATGCTGACTGCTTTGACATCTCACATTTTGATGGGCACATCATTTCAGTTGTGAGAGTTAATTATATCTAATAAATAATACTTTTTTTTTTTAGTTGGTCTAGATTATCTTCCAGCAAGCTTGTTTACAATAATAAATGTGGCATATGTGGTGTAACAGGATTTTGAGGTTTGGGTCTTGTATTTTGCTAGCCTTCTAAAGCTGAGATGGCTGAAGTTCGAGTGAATGTTGTTGGACTGAAATGGGAGGGTTACAATACATAGGAGTTTCCATCAAGGTGAAGTAGTAGCCTGCCTACCCAGTGGTATAAATAATAAAGATGGCAACAGTTAGTGCTTATTTGATGTCTTTGGTTTTTATCATGGCATCATAGCCAGTGAAGAGAAGACTTTAGATGTTCTGAAGAGCATCTTTTCAGTTTTATAAGATCAGCCAGTGATCTTTGATCTGTCACGTATGGTTCATACATTATTTCCAAATAAAATTTGATTGTGTCAAATGCCAATGTCTGAAAACATGGACAAACTAAAGCACTACATGTCCATTTGACTTCAGTAGTCTCCTAACTTATTTTATGGATTCATTTGGGGTGAAAGGAACTGATGTATTAGCTGCTGGTTTATGGAAAGACTAGAGAACCTTAATAGCTTCTGTGAACCATGAGTTATTGTAACAGAATATGAACACTGATTTTTTTGTCAATGCATGGTAGGGGTTCTGTCCTGATGCAGCTGGTGTTTTTGACCTGCTCCAGAAAAATGCAGAAGTGCATGGTTTAATTTGATTGTTTTGCTGGATCTTGAGGATAGCTCAGTATCCTGTCGGATTAAATTCCAGAATGAAGATCTATGTACTTGGGAAGGAAATCAGTGCTCTCCAATGTTTTTCTCCCAAAACAGGTATTGCCTTTTACCCAGGGAAGGCTCGGCTGCTTAGCTGCAAACATCATTACTACGATCACATTCCTCCTCTGATAAATCCAGGTCAGCCAGGACACATTGAATGCACCACTCAGAGAATCAACTACACAGATCCTTTCACTAATCAAACTATGGTAATAATAATATAATAGAAAAAAGCTTATTCAGTATGGGTTTTCTGCTTGTAATTGTATTTGAAAGTAAAAAATATTTACTACATGCTGTTAAAAAAAATCCTTTCTTCCAGGTTTTTTTCCAAGCCATCTGTCCTTTTGTTTTCAGAAATGTAAAAGACCTCAGTCAGTGTGTATATGTGTTTTGGAAGATCAGCTGTTGTGTGGGTGTGTGCAGCACAGAAACTTGAATGGGATAAAATATGTCATTTTTCACAACAAAACTCTTGCTTCATTCTTGTCCTAAATGAACCGGGAAGCATTCTCCTTGATATTGTAAATCTGGCTTTGATTGAAAGCCGTAGCAGTTATTCCATTAAAGCAAGATAGCTAATCTCTTTTTGTATGTTTGCTGGGATTTACATACTATAATTGTCACACTGGAAGAGTCTTAGATAACCACCAAGCATTTCATTACACTGAAGTACTGTGAGCCAGCAAGATGGGTGCACTGGGTGATTGTCTTAAATTGACCTTAAAAATGCAGGGAATCTAGCTGCTGTATAAAGAAATGGTCAAAAACCACAAATGACCATATTTAATACTTTAGATAAAATGATTGCTCAGATTGTTTTTAAGGAAACTAAACATGAACAAATAAACTATCTAGGTACCCATTTGCTCATCTTCGTTCCTCTTCATGTCTTGTTTCTCATCTAGTCACCATTTGTTTTTGGGAAGCAGCTCCTCAGTACGTTTGAAAGTAATAGTCTAGGTGCAAGTCTAATTTAATTTCTGCTCCTATATGCTCTTTTTGCATGTTTTAACAAACTAAGAACATACAATTTTATGGTGTGTTGTAGATTCATTTAGCAGCTTGCTGATCCAATAGACTCTAGTCCTGCAGTGGAGTAGAGAGGCACTGAGGCAGAGACCTCTGATGTTCTCCACATCAGACTCCAGATTAACTTTTTTCATGTCAAGAACAAAGTTCCAAGACTTTAATACTCAAAACAGTTTTGACTGTCCTCCTGCAGAATGCAGGGCCTTGACTGGTAATTCCATGTGAACTCAAAGGATGATGACAGAATTAAAGCCAGTTTCTTAGAAAAACACTAAATCTTGATGTAAAGACTAAAAGGATGGATTCAATTGGCATCCTTGTCAGATATTTTAATAGATGTGTACTTAGTAGCAGCCAAGAAACTCTCAATGTGTATTAGTGCCAGTTGACAAATTCCTGAACAGAAATGAGGATTACTTTGCCACTCTCACCATCTCTGTTTGCTTACAGAAGTATGCTTTGGTTGTTCAAGGCCCTCGTGATGTGAAGAAAAAGGAACTGGTGTTTTTGCAGTTTCATTTAAATGAAACAGACCAAGATTTTAGTGCCATTGACTACCTTCTGTTTTCTTCTTTCCAGGAGTTTGTCAACAGGTATGTAAAGGGATGAGCCTGTAACTGCATTGAACTTGCTACCATAATAATTGGGAAAGCAAGCTTTTTTAGTAAAAATCAGACAGGCTTTTATGTATTTTTTTTAATGTTTGGATTATGCTGATGCTCTTTCATATCTTTGTTTGCTGATGTTACTTTTTAAAAAATGCATTGAGAACTTTTTCAGTGACAAAACATGCTCTCAGCTGTGCTCAAACCATTTGTTGCTGCAATTTCTGGAAGTTTAAAGTTTGTGCTGGCTTACTGCTGTCTGCTGCTGTGGGTGATCAGGAAATGTGCTGTCCTGGGTAGTGTGTCAGTGCAGAGAGAACACCAATGTCTCTGTACCATTTGGGTTTTTTTAAAGCAGTTACTGTAAAGATCAGATCCATAGATTGATTTGTTGTGATTTCATTGAAAGATTAACTGTATGTTGTTGTCTTACTGGCTTTATGTAGGATTCTATAGAATGATTCATATATGGGGTTTTCAAAATTGCTTCATATTTGTTCAACATTGGTGCCATTACAGTGACTGATCACCTTCTTCTAATTTTAATAAGAGTGGAATTAATCTCGAACTTTCTTCAAAGCCCCACCCTTTTTCCCCCTGTGACAGTAAATTTCATACTTAACTGTTTAAGTTTTGCTTTAAGTTTAACAGTTCAAGTTCTGTTCTTCTCTCTGTGATCCAGATTAAAAGCTAGACAAGAGATATTAGTCATATTGACATCTGATAGAAAGCCGTAATTTGGTAATACTTGCTCAATGAAAAAGGGACAGAGGATAAAGGACATATGCAGAATCAAATTGGGTGAGGGAAGGGAAGAGAAATAACAGATTTTATTGTAGCAACACATTCTCAGAGGTTTGAACTTATCATAATGGTGCTCTCAGATACAGCAGAGACTGAAAGTGTACAGTTGCAGTATCTCTGGGTGGTCAAAGGCCAGTTATCTGAATTTCCTTTTTACACAGCTTTTCTACTTCAGTGAAGGAGAGATTTTAAGTCACTAAGTACTTTCTGTAACTACACTAAAACACCTCATAAAATGCTAATGTTCCAGGTATTTTAGGCAATGATATTTTAGGGTGAGAAAATACCATTAGAAGTAATGATGTAGAAGGTGCTACTTGTTCCTTGTGTGCTGGTTTTTCTCAGTTTTTGTGGCTTGTGCTGCGGTTAGAAACACGTACAGTGGGACCGATTCCAGCAAGGTGCTCAGCTGCTGCTACACTGCCAGACACCGGCACTGTCTGAGACCACCCCTGGTGTTGCATGTGGCTCTTTGCAGAACGAGCCAGCTTACAAGACACAGCTCAGTCTGTGCATACCCGGGTCTTGGAAGCCACGTTTCTGTGCTCGTTGTATAGACTTGCAGATAACCCATTTTAAAGAGCTGTTTCTTCCCAAGTTAAAACACATATGCCCCACTTACACTGGCAGTATTTCTGCAACTGTGCGTGCTGCTGGCCCGGACGCTTGTGCCACGTGTTGTGCAAATGCAGGTTAGATGTGCAGAACAACAGTGTGCTTGTTGCAAAGGTCTGAGCTTCAAGGCTGTGCTTGTGCCAGAGTAGGTGAATCGGTTAAGAATCATCTGTAAGATGCCTGGGAGAAACCTGGATCGCAGCCTTCTGCTTCCAGGTTTGCCAGGTCAGACCAGTTATATGGCAGATTGGTCCATGAAAAGACGGGGAAGTGTCACTTTGTTCCTAGAGAAGCTGCCTTGTCCCTGTGTTGGAAGGCGCCAGAATGGCGGCCAGGGGAGTTGAAGGCTGGGTTATGTTTGGAGAAAAGTGAAAAGGGGATGGGGATGTCTGTTCGGGGATGCATCCTTTGTGCTTGTTTGAGGCAGGTAATAGGAATGGGAGTTAAAACTGGTTTTGAACTAACCCAGGTTAATGGTAAAATTGGCAAAGGCATGTAGGCCTTAGTAGTAAATGATCTGCATGTCTAGATGAAATACAGGAAGAGGACCGGTTGTAGGCAGGAGGCCAGTAGTGTCTCTTTTACAGCATCCTCCAAACCTTGGTACGAATCATATGGCTTGTATTGTGTTTGTTGTCCTTCTGTCTCGGGGTGTGAACTGGACAGGCTCAGGGCAGGTTGGAAATTTGTTTCTCCTGACTATGAAGTGCATGTGAAACTGCACTGCATATGTGGAGTGCACTCGTTCTGTCCAACTTTCAGTAGAAGAAAAAATAGAAATGATTTCCGCTTCATCAGCAGATGCTAAATTTAGTTGATGGGAAGTCTGGACTAAGATACCTCTAGAAACTGTTGTGTATCCTTCCATAGAGCCTCTAAAACTTCAGTTGGTGGCCTTTGTCAACTACTTGTCCTGACAAAGTGTCTCACTTACTGGTATTAGCCCTGTGTCCAGCAATTAATGTACAATGTTATTAGAGATGCTAAAACTCACTAGATATCATCATTACCTTTACAGTTTTTTGCCATGGCTGCAAACAGCTTGTGTTGGGCTAGGCAGGGAGACTGATGTGAAACATAAAGGGTATTCCATCATCTCAAATCATGATCCAAACCCCCCTCGAAACTGGTGAGAAGAGGCCTGCTGTATCTACACCACAGTTTCTGTGTAGGCAGTATTATGTGCAGCTCATTTTTGCCTTAAATAGCAATAATTATATCAGTAAAGGCTGCTGAAAGCATCAGCCACAAGCCGTAAAAAAAATGGCATCTAGAGACTTGTATCTTTAAGGGTTTTTTTTGTGGCATAGCAAGTGGTGAGGACTCAAGCAAGGTCCAGTTGTTTCTGTCAAGGGTTTTATTCTCCGCAGCTCTTGTGTTAAAATTGGATCACAGACTGCATGAAACTGGCACTGCTCTCAAGTTTTGTTCTGGTCTCCACAGAACACTGCTGCACTGTGTGCTGTTGTTAGCCTCTGAGTTGGAGGGATAGTGCTGCTGGCTTCTTTTCTTCTTTTTTTTAAGGCAGTGGCAGCTGCTGTCTCTACCATATTAATTGGAGGGAAGGAAATAATGAAACCCTTGCAAATTACCCAAAAAGTGTGGCTAAAAATACAAATTCCATTCCTGAACTATCATTAGTATAATACATGGGTTTTAGAAGAAAATCCTCTGAACATACTACTGACAAAACTACTGTTAGTGTAGCATGTAAAATAACTCATGGTCCTGTGAAATTAGGGATACCAGTCGGAACAGATCAGAGATTATTAAAGGGTCTAAACAGAGCTCCATGTTCATGTCTCTGATCTGAATTGCTGCAAGTGGAGAAACAAATTATAACAGAAGTGTCAAAACATTGGGAACCACACTAGCTGACCCTTTATTAGATCCCATGGCTGTCTGAGATTTCTGGTCTGGATAAATGCAAAAGCAGTAAACACAAATTGGGTTTGAACCATCTGTGGTTTTGGCTCTTGCTGTTGCATTGGAATCTGATGGTGGGATGTCCTAAAAACTGCCTCTGGCTCACGTGGGTTGGTCCATAGAGACTGGTGTTAGAAGGATCCACTGCAGCACTTACAGAATTAGGTCAGTGACTCCCACAGCTGGGACAAACACAATCTCTCATGGTCTGACCTTGACTGCTCTGGGCAATGGGCTTCCCTGTTAGTAGGTTGAACAGTCAGAGAGCACTAGCTGAGAGGAGAGCAGGGCTTTGTAGTTCACCTGAGTGAGACGGTGGCCTCTTGCAGTTCTCTTTCTCTGCTGTGATGTAGCAAATTTTGCATGGTCTTGAGGCACCATTAATATTCTGGGAGAGCATGGTGCAGATTATTCTAGGAACCTTACCTTACTTCTAAAGGACAGTGTAATAGGAAGAAGAACTTACTGAAAAGCAACAACAAAAAAGAAAGAAAAACCCTCCAACCAACAACAAAAAAAGGTGCATCTTTTGTAGGTTGTCTGTCTTTGGGATGAAGAGGGAATTAAAAGAAACTGCCTGGAGAACTGTTCTTCAGCTTAAAATCGCTTGCCTGCCTTGTGTTCATTTAGTTGTCTGTGGGTTTAAAGCTGCATTATTTGCCCTCTGCCATAATTTATGCAAAGCTTCTGCCTCTGCTCTACTCCTGCCGTCCCCCCTTTTTGTTTTCCCCCCCTCACTCTGTGGCAGTGGTCTGAATTATGGGCAGATGCAAGGAGATACCTTCTCAGATCACTTCTCCACAATTCTCCTAGGATATTATTAATCCTTCTGTTTCAAGCCTACAATTACTGTTGAGGACAAAGTATACTACTGCTGTCTGCCTACCATGTAAGTTGTGGCTGTAACGTTCAGCTCTGTGTCATAACTTCCTGCCTCAATTTTCCATGTTGGTTTGGAAAGCTTTTCTAGGATGCTGTATTTAATCTGACATTAGGCATATGACTTGCTGGCAGAGTGCTAATTATGTATGTTTCTCTTGAGGGGCAAAGCACTCCAGTGCTCTTCTGTTCTGTCCCATCAGCTGCTGCTGTACCCACATCCAGAAGGGGGAAGAAGTCATTGTCGGATTAGGTGTCCCTGTGTCCCTGGTTTGTATGGTGAGGAGCAGTCAGGCAATGGGCTTTGTCCTTATGTTCTGCCCACATCTTTCTTGTGGGAGTTAGAGACATGCACTGCCATCCTCTTGGGGTCACTAAACAAGCACCTAATGTCACAAATAAAGATATTCTTAACTTGCTAAAAAACCCTTGGAATAGCATCTGTCTTGATGGGTAGCAAAGAGTGTTAGTTTTCCTTTCCAGGAACGGTTCTCCTTTCTATGTGTGTGTGCAATGGAATTCCATGTTTGAGCCATTGCCTGAAGCCCTGACGGGAGCAATGGCTTTGGTGGGTTGTGCCTTCCTTTGAGCATGTTCATATGTTCCTATGAGTATTCACCTATAAAGCCTGAGCAGGAGGCATAGTACAGAGGAGCCAGTAGTGTGATATTCTTTTTATCAATGCATGCTTTTCCTGCCTTTTGGACAAGGCCACCTTGGTTTCTAGGAAGAAAGGGAGCCCTGATTTTGAAAACTAAGAAAAAAAGACAGGAAAAGTCCTGAACCAGCACTGACTGCATTTGCCCAAGTCTTCCTGATTGGACTGTTGTCTGGGACAAGAGCTTGCTTCTTCAGCTCTACTTCTCTTCTTTACTTCTTTGCATCTTTCTCCTTGAAGACCAAAACACCTTAGTCTCCCAGTGGACCTGGTCATGCACACCCTCTGCCATACAAGAAAAGTACACTCTTTCCCTTCACTAGGAAGTTTGGGTCAAAACCCTTTCTCTTGTTTTAATGATCAACATACCCTGAACATCTCTCTGCAAACTGAATCTATCGTTAGTAAAAATAGGCAGCATGGGCTTTAATTATTCATGACTCATCACAGTGGTTTACCCCTTCTCAAATGAAACCTTGTTGGAAAAGCAGCTGCAGGGCTAGGCTTATTTCATAGGGATGACACGAAAGTGGCTAAAATCACAGTAGGTAAATAATAGGAGATAAATAATGGAGGGAGTTCCATGTAAATAGCATGGTTAATTCACTGTGTCCTGTGCAGCTGGTAGAGAAGAGATGGAGACCAGATATGCCTCTTTACTTGCAGCATGAGGGGTATTAGAAGCCTTAAAATGGCTTACAGTCACAGTATTAAAAAAGATCCCCAAACAAACAAACCAAAAAACATACAAAGCAATCCTGCTGTTCTGGGGATTACAAATATCTGTGATTGCATAATATTGGGGAAACAGCCATGTTGTTGCAGATGGGAGCCTTACACCAAAGCTGTAGTGTTTCCAAAATAATAGGAATATACTGAATGCCAATTTCAAAGCATTTTAAGTATGTCTGCACTGCAACTGGTTTATTTGGCAACCAGTTTGCTTGCATCCCAGAAATGAGGTGAAGCAGCCTGCCCTGCCTCTAGGCTCTTCCTTCTGTCTCTTGCTTCTTAACATGGTGATGAGTTGTTTCCTGAGGTCCTGGCTCTGCTCCTTTCTGTCCCAGAGATGACAGATGAGCAGAACTAAACTCCCCTATGAGGCAGAACAATTCCCCAGGGCAGGCAGAACTCCAGGGTCACAGGGCACCAGGTAAGTCTTCTGCGGTTAAGGGTGTGTTACCATTAATGAAAACATGACTGCACGCAATGTTTTAGATATGTTGAATTTAGCAGGTGAAAGATAAAAGGAATTGTGACCAGTTTTTGAAGTGCCTGTAGGTCTGACATTCTCCTGCCTACAGTGCTCAGAGGGTGGTCAGTAAAATAATGGTCTTTTTCCTTTAGTGCAGAAAAAGAAAAATTCATGAAGGACTGTGAAAGTTCATACTCCAGCTGGAAGTTTTCTGGAGGCTTTCGAACTTGGGTCAAGATGTCCTTGGTCAAAACAAAAGAAGAAGATGGTAGTGAGACTGTTGAATTCAAACAAGAGGTAAAAACAAAAAAAAAAGGAAAGAAATAGTGTTTTGAGATCTCTTAGCTTATTAAGAATTAGTTACTGCCATAGTTTTAAATGATAACTGGCCAACAGAACTAATTCCTGGGGCAAGTAGCAATATGAGTTGGAAGGGGGGGGAGGGGCGTGTTGGTTGGTTTTTGTTTAATTGCATCCACTATGCTACTTGCTACTGCACAGCTTTGGCTGTGCTTTTCTTAACATGGAGTGGTTCTCTAAAAGTGTAAATGTCTCCTTGTGCTCAGCTGTTGGTTTGGCCTAGTGACACATCTCAGGAAAACATCTAATAGGCAAGCCAGAAATTCAGGCCTCAGATGTGTTATGCATGACCCCTGTAGTCTGAGGTAAGGGTCCAAAGAGACTGACATAGAAATATTAACACAGCTACCTTTAGTTCAAGGTGGAAAACAACTGCCAAAAGAATTGTCTAAATAATAGGTGGTATTGGAAAGAGGTATTGTTTAGGTTACCATAGGGGCTGATGTTAGGATGAAGAGGTAAACATAAGCCTTGTATCCTTTGTAGCATTGTCAGATTTGCTTTTTGTTTGGGTTTGGAATTTTTAGCTGTTGAGTGTCCTTAGAGACACGGAGTGACTTAACTTCACATCATTTAAAACTAGAAAATATGCAGGTGGAAGATGCAAACTTATCTAGAGAGGAAATGAGTTTGACTTTCATTCCTGTTCTGTTCACACTAATGGACAGGAAAATAATTGTGTTTTGAGTTTGTTTTGCTCCCAGTGTTGGTTGAAAAGGAAGTGTCTCATCAGTGCCGAGCAGAGAGGATTTAAAAAGCAGTCCTTCCCAGAAGTGTCTCTTCCGGAGACTGCACTTTCACTTAGTCCATGGCATGCTTGGAAAGAGTATTTTGTGGAGAGCAAAATGAAGCAGAGTCTTCAATTCTCCTGTCTTTAGTTCTCAGAGTTACATGGCATAGCCTTAAGGGAAGAGCAGAGCTGTGACTGTGAGGTGGGTACCCTCCTACTCCACTGGAAGAGGACAGGAGGCAAATCCCAGAGTCATGCAAGTCCCAAACTGATGCCTTAGTTGGGAGAACAGGAAAGAATGCATCAGTCAGCTGCTGCCATGTAAGCACTGACAGCAGTTATCTGTCAGTCCTTCATCTCCTACAGCTCTGTATCACTTGCCATTTGGTGCTTACCAAGTACAGGAGTTTTGAAAGTCCTCCTTTGGGTGCCCAAGTCTAACATATCTCAAAGTGAAAACAAAAGGCTGACTCAAAGTCAGGGGGAAAAAAGGAGCTTTTTGTGACCATAAAAATCTGTTTAGTTCAGCAGTTACGGACTCTGATCATCAGGGTAGATGAATGCTGTGTTGGGGGTTTTTTGTTTGTTTTGTGGGTTTGTTTGTTTGTTTTTAATAAAACCTAGGAACTAGAAATCAGATCAGAAAACAGCAGAAGCTGAAACAGCTCAGACATAAATTGCACTTGCTTTGTTTGACAGTACAACATCTGCTCAAATTGCATGAGGAAGTCCATTAGCCTTTCAAATCTAAAACTGGGAGCTGGCGTACCAGAAAGATGGATACAAATACTAGGTCAAATAGCACAGTCAGTCACCCTGCTAACCAGCCCAGTAGTCATTAATCTGAATTTTCTCCCTTCTCATTGCCTTCATTTAGCTTTGTGTACTGTTTGTTTCCCAGTGTGCAGTTTTCTTGGATGAGTGTAGTTGGGGTGCTGGTACCCTGCAATAAGGAAATGAACTGTAGAAGTGTGGGGTAAGTCTGCAGCAAAGGTGTTTGACCAGAAAACAGGAGGTGGTGAAGCTCCCATATGCTCTGAATGGACACATGGTGTTCTAGCTCCTGCTTCTACTTGTTTGCAGCCTAAAATCTGGTCAGGGCAGGGTCTATGGAGAAGACTATTAGAAACCTTGAGGTATTTGTAAAGAAATTGTGCCATGGTAGATGGGAGGCTTTTGTAGCAGGTCATCCCTCATACAATGGAAAAGCTTGTAAGCAGGTGAAGATAGCAGTCTGTTTAGGGAACTTCCAACTCAGCCTTCCTCTACCTGGAAAAAACGGGTTCATAAAATATGGGAAAGGCAAGTTCTTCCATGATCTGTCTCATCTTCCTATTTACAATCCTGAAATGAAGTTACAGTACTGCTGGATTCATTACTTCCAGTACAGAATTAAACAACTGTAGGAAGAGCAGCAGTACTCCCTTGTGCACACACCAGATGTAAACACTCCTTTGAGGGTTAGAGAAGGGAGAAGTCTCTGCATCACTGTGCTTTCCTGCGAGGCCACTGTCTGGCTTTTGAGCAGTTTGTACTGTCCCCTAGGACACAGGTGTAATTAGGTACTGCCTGTGTACAAACCTCGTGTAGTTCCCCTCTGGGCTGGAGGTGGGTGTTAAAATACAAAGGTTTTTCTGGGGCCTGATGTCTTAATACTTTCCTGACTGTGGTTCTCAAGACTATGGTTTCATGTGGCTGTAACATAGTCCCGTATCCTAACCCAGTTCCCTGTTGGAATTGTGCTACAGCTCTCTGCTGGTCACTGTTAGTTTCAAGAGGTAACCCAGTTAATGGGCGTTTTTGGTTCTTAACATCTGGGTTTTTCTCCCCTTCCATTTTCATTCTGCACTTGCTGGAATCTTATAGTTTATTCTACAACTGATTTTTCAAAAAGGAGTCTTCCTGCCACCACGGTGTAGTTCTCTGGTAAATAAAACTAAATTAGCATTCATTCATGAGAACTCTCCAAATGTTGTATTACTCCAAGTAAATGAATTTTGTAAATTATTCCCCCCCCTTGAAAGGCAATTAAAAAATGGTATGTAGTGTGATACTGAGTGAGAAATAGGAAAATAATATGAACATGAGACAGACAGAGGAAACTACCCTTTCCCTGTTTTGGGAGCTCATTGTTCCAGGTAGAGAAAGGCTGAAGTGGAAGTCCCTAAATAGTCTGCTATTTTTACCTTCTTGCAGGCCTTTTCTGTTGCACAGAAGACTCATTGTACCACTGAAGAAAGTAACCTGCACCTTTTTTTTTCCTCTCCCCAGACTAGCGTGGTTAACTATATTGACCAGAGAACTAAACCAGGAAGTGACCAGCTGTTTTTTGTGGTATTTGAGTGGAAAGATCCTTTCATACAGACTGTTCAGGATGTGAGTAACACCCTACTCCCCATATGAATTGCTGTCTCATGGTTTGTGTGTGCATGCACTTGCCATCTCACTCCAAGCAGAAATGCAGAGGAAGAGTGAGGTTACTTCTGAAATTTCAGGCTAGGCTCTTCCTTATCTAGTAATGCATAGTCTGTGGAGGTCAGGACCATCTGATGCCTTCCCTTGGGTTGGTGACACTCAGCATTCCGCTTGCAGGTAGAGGTACACGTAGCTAAGAAAAGCATCCTATGTTCTAGCAAAGTGTAGTTTCAGGTCAAGATGGAACTTTTTGCTTAAATAAGTGTGCTTGGATAAACTGATTTAATGACTTTTTTTTTATTAATTGACAAACAAAAAACCTAGGCTTAAATAATAAAAATAGCCTAGTGTATTTTTTATCCATTATTAGAATAAAATTTGGTACTGTTACTTAAATGTACAAAAAGTACTCTAAAAATCAGCTAAATATGCTGCAGCCAGAGGTGTAGGATGTGCCAGACATGATGTGCCTACCCCATGATCAATCCCTGGAACGCTTAAAAGATCAACACTGCAGGTACGTGTGCTGTAAGCATTTGATCCAGAGCTTGTTTTCCTAGTGTTCTAGGGGAGAAGGGCAGATACACTTGCCCTTCCCAGAAAAATATAGAGTGGCAAAAGTGTGCAGTGAATCTGTTCTACATTTTGCATTTAAAAGTACCATACCTGACAACTGAGGTCCAGCAGCAAAATCCACAGTGTTCTTGTGTTCCTGCCCAAAACCAGTGTGAATGCTGACTGTGTGGGACAGGAGTTGGGAGCTGGTCCTTTGCACTCCTGCTGTCCTGTCCGTGCTGGACCCAGGCACTTCCTTGGCCTTGAGAGCCAGGTCATATTCCCAGACCTCTCATTCCTCTCTGCCAAGTAGGGTTCTACACCTTTGCCACCTTCCAACTGAAAGCTGCCCTTGATCCAGTGGGTTGGGAGTATTCATTTCCTGGTGCTGAAGAGGCTATAGTTCACAAGCATGGGCAGCTTTCAGGAAGATTAACAAATATGGAAAGCCTGTATAAGACCTGGCTCAGGGGGATGACCTACTGACACTGTGCTGGCTGGCCCAAAAGTGTATCCTGTCTGTTCATTGCTGCCTAACCCCAGCTCTGCCTGCTTCATCAGGGACCCTAGAAGTCATTTTTGTGTCTAGAGGTGCAAGGAGAATTCCAAACTAAATAAACTTAACTATTCTTGAACAAACATAGTAAAAAATACAAAGTACTTGCTGTAGATCAAAAGCTGGTTTAGCACTCTAAGGGTAGCTGGTTTTCCTACCTTTGTCTTCTGGAAGGTCTTCTTCCATGTGACTGCTTCTTTTTATAAATATTTAAATAATACAGTAAGTTTAATCTATAATTTTAAAATTAGCGGTTTAACTGTACCCCTAAAGTTTTAAAACAATTCAATATCCTAAAACAGTGTAAAAGGAATTTAGCAGCAAGTATACTGTGTTTTATTCCTCCTGGAAGGAATCAGAAAACCACAATATGGAGAGAAGGCACTACAGGCAACCTTTGCAGCATAAAGGAATACGCAGCAAAACACTTCATCTAGGAAAATGGAACTGTTTGTTGTTTAATAGGTGTAATATATGATGAATCGGATGAGGGGACTAGTATTTTTCATCTCTTTCAGATTATCACAGCAAATCCCTGGAACATGATTGCTCTTCTTTGTGGTATCTTTTTGGCTCTGTTTAAGGCCGCAGACTTTGCTAAGTTAAGTGTTAAGTGGATGATCAAAATCCGAAAACGACATCTGAAGAGGAGTCGTCAAGTAATGAACCATATAAGCTGAGACTAAGGCTGCTTTTTAACTGTTCATAGCAGAAGGGATAAAAAATAACTGGAATAAACTTCAATCAGCAATTAAAGCTGAAAACCAGGTATGTTTTCTGCCAGAAAGATGATGGCTGGAGGAACAGCCGAGTGAACCAGCCTTTGAACTTCAGAAAGGAGCTAACTCTAGGACAGGTCTAACAAACTCATGCTTTTCTATTCCCAATTTAACAAGTTTACCTCAATGTATGGGGAAGCCAGGGGGAAAGAAGAGAAGTCACCAATGTTCAGAAATTCAACACTGTAGTAAATGGTAAAAAGTGGACAGAGTTTCAGCACTTCTCAAACAGACCATTTAACTTCTGCATGAGCTGTGAGCTGCACCTGCTACCACAGCACAGTCACTGCCCTGACTGTGCTTAGAAGAAGGTAAAGTACTCTAAAAACAGCCTGGCCTCCCTTCTCCAAAGTATGTTTTAAAACAAAACACACTGGAATTCTATTACATGTCATTTTTGATTTAAAGTATAGTGACTTTAATATTAAAAAAATATTTCCAATAAGATACTGTGTACCTTCTTTGAAAATACCTGTTCTCACATTCAGCTGGAGCTTAACAGGTGGCAGTCCAGGCAGAAATGTTACTGCACAATAAGGTAAAAAACAAAAAAGCTATTCCTGATCAGTTCAACTCAAAGGAAAGTCAAGCAACATGATAAACTGGGGGGCTTAGCTGATGGTCCATTTCAAAGTCTTTCTCAGGCTGTTGCTTATCCCTCTTTCCCCACCAGTCTTAGCTAAGGAAGTGAAAAATAAGTCTTTCATCAGCAGGGCATTGAAATGTGATTCTCTATTATAAGGGGAATGACTGCTAACTAACTGTGCTGGGGTGGTGGTGGTGTCTTTTTCTTCCTTATAAGTCCTGTGTTAGCTGAGATGCCAGACTTGGACTTGTGGAGTCTAAAGGGCAGCAGTGCACCAGTGTGCTTGCTCTGAAGGCTTCGTTGCAAGAATGCCAAGTCATATTTTGCTTCTTCCTTCCTTTTCTAACAGTATTAATAGAGGAATAAGTAAGTGTATCAAAAGTACCCTCTCAGCTTTTTTCCTTTCTTTTTTGGCTTCTTTGTTCTTTTGGAACAAAATATACTAACTTTCAGATGATTCCCTGAGCAAACCAAGGCACTGCATTGACCAAACACAGCCTTAAACAAGGGAGCAACAACTCACTGTAGTAAGATAAACAAAACAGCAGAACTGGCTGTTTGGGAGAAAAATGTTTGTATATAAGAAAGGTAGTGCTCAGTCACCACTTTATTCACTACGTTGCAGTGATGGTCCTGAACAGGTCCTGTTCAGGACTTCAGGTGAGACAGGTCAGCAAAGTGCACAGCAAGGAATGAGCTTTAACTGCACAGTTGAAGCCAACTGAGCTACTCCATCCCTGGTGAATGGTGGGGAATAGGACAGTAACCAGGTGAGGGGTGTGGAACACCCCCACACACTTAGACCATCCACATCAAGAAATACCCCACTGATTTTGCTACATAACAGCCTATGCTGGTAGGAGAGCATTCCATTGGCTTCCCCAGTCAGCTTATAGCCCTGTGCTTTCCCAAATATCCGGGGAACAGGCCCTCAGCACTGTAAGAGAGAGACAGGTGATCTTTCTTGATTCCTCACTGTGAAAGAAACACCCAAGTGTCCCTTTAACAAATAATATTAGAGCAGCTCTTTCTTGGATTTTACAAAAACATTTAGAAACAACAATTAGATCAGGTACTGATGGATCCTGCTCCTCCTGCTGGATCCTACTGCATTTTTTCTTTCCTTGCCCACAAGCTCAGAGAAGGTAAGGTGGAAGACAACTTAGCCACAGCTGTGGGGTCAGTAGGAGGTATCATTAAATAAGGGATACACTCCTTTCTGCAGTATGTACTTTTTTTTCCCCCATCAGTAAATTCCCACAGCAATCCAGTTCAGTCACTACAGCTCAGCTATCAAGATGTTTTGTTTTATAAGGAAATGTTGTTACAAGAGCAGGCCCGACAATCCCAGCCAAGAAACCTTTCTTTTACATACCTATTTATAGGACTGATTCTGACTGCAAGGGTTGCATAATTTGGAAAGGCCTCTTACAGCTACTGTGTTGTTTTGTATTACAAATATGGACATCAAGCTTAAGTACCTTTTTGAAAAACTTGTAACAATTACAAATGTCAGTGATTTGGTCCTTGTATCACTGCAAGGTGTTCAGTTCCCCAACATTTATATAAGTTATTTCCTTTAAGCTGTAGGACAGCTGAAAATATTTTGTGTCACAAATTTAGAGGTTTATTCTTCTAAGTGCAAAAAGGCACTAAAGCACTAAACTGAGGTGAGCTGTGCCCGTGTGATGGTCCTCTCCCTTCAAGAAGAAGCACTGTGAAAGGTAAAGGATTCCTCCTCCCCCTCCCCCCAAATTTTGGGCAGCTAGCTACCATGGCAGGGTCTACCCTTGTATATAAAACTGACAGTTAGAAAATAGCAATTAATTAGTTTTGATCTGACAGAGCTGTTGGAAGTGTAAACCCCTTCGGGTACTACTAGTCCCATATCCTCTGTGAAACAATTACTTAAGAAGCAAAAATGAAGCAACAATAAAAGTGTAATCAAGTTGACTCAAACAGTGTAGCAAGGACTTTCCCAGCCCCCCGGAAACTCCTTGAATAGTGTCAGTAAACCAGCCACACAGAAGGGAAGGGAAGCCCAGGACACCTGCCTCAGCTGTTCTCACCACCAGGGAGCAGAGCCAAGCCTTCCACCCTACTCACCAAAAACAAACCCCCAGCAGCCTGTGCCTCCAGCACTTCTGCCACTCACTGAAAAGCCACAGGTTAGTCAGAGACTTGAGCACTTAAAAAAAGTTATTCATAACAGTCATACTAATTCTCCTGGTCTTCATAAACACAAAGATGGAAGGTACCGCACTAAATACAAACATAAAGACTTTATTGAACGCTGGTCAATTCCCCAAAGATCTTTCATTACAAAATTTTTCCACACAACTGCAATTTAAGAGATTGGAATGGTACTCTGATAAAAGATGTGAAAAATACTTGATCAAGTAAACAGACAAGACTTCTACTGTCAGCTTTCCACCTTTAAGAAACAGACTGCATTTTCTTTAAAGAAAACAAGGAACTATTTCTTGACATTCGCTTTCCTCTTTACTATTAAAAAAAAATAATGCCAATTTTGGTCTCTTCTTCAGTCCATGAGATGCTAAAACTAACACAGAAACATCCAAGATAGTCTGTGAGAGAGACCTGCACTATTCTTCAGGGTCCTTGGGCTGATGAGGAGCATCATTGATGGGCTCTCTAGAGGAAGCTCCATCCTCAGCTGTAGCAGGAGGAAATCCCTAACTAGCCCAGGACCAAGACACAGCAAGAATGGGGCAGAGGCACTGGCCACCCCAAGCTGTTGCAGCTGACTCTCTCCCTACCTTGCCTCCTTCTATGTGAGCATTATATAAATCTAAATCTGACTCCAATCAGGAATTCAAGGACAGCACTGTATCCGAGTTCCTTTCAATGCTGTAAGGGGCACATACTGAGTATCTCAAGTTACTGGTAACGTACCTTGGTTTTATTTCAGAAAATACAGCACAACTAGAAGCCTTTTCTATCATCTTAACCAAAGTATGCAGCAATGTGAAAAGCACATACAAAACAAAGAAAAATGTGTACATAGCAAACTATACCACCTATGTGCAACACAATCAAAAATTCAAGTCATAAGTCTCACCACTCCCATAATTATTTCACTCATTAAGGATGATAATTCAGTTCTATGAAACGTTGGAAGTGACAGTCTATCAGTAATTAGACAAATTTACAATATGTTGTGATAATGAAATCACTTAACTGCTGTATTTAAATTCAAATCCTTACATTTGCCAGAGAAAAAAAATTGGCTGTTTCTTTTATACTGATGAGGTTTCTTTTGCAAATCCTTATATATTTCAAAAGGGTACAAAAAAGAATGTCTGCCGAGTAGAGGTGGTCATTTCTTTTATTTGGCACTTGTATTATGTGCATTGAGCACGTTGTGAGTCTGCTTTTCTGCCATCGCCTTCTTAAGCTTTAACTCCTCTAGCCTTCTCCACAACTCTTCACGTTCCAATTCCTTCTTTTTCTCTCTGTAGAAAAGAGTGAAGGCTTGATTTCAGATGTGTTTTAAGTGCAATCTGGAAATGCAGTAACTTAACTGTGACTTACATCTACTAATTCCTCTTGTAAGTTTTTCTCCAAAGCTATTTTTAGAGGCAGTTACAGTTTCCTCAGTTAAAAAGTGAGTGTACAAATCAGTAATGGTTAGTGGTGAAACTGTAGCTTTGCTCCAGCAAATGCAGACAATTGCTGTAGTGTGGCCTTGCACAGACAGCTGCAGTTCTAAGAAGCTTCTTTATCACATGCAAACAAAATAAGGGACTAAGCATTACAAGGGGAGAGAAGAGCACAGCTACTGAAAGGAGACTTGGCATGTGGTCTCAGCTGGCCAAGGATAACCTACACCCTGCCTCCCTTACTCCAGCAGTGCTGCTCAGTAGGTTAGTAGAGTAGGAGATGTTTTTGCTGAGCTATGAAGCTCAGCTGTCTTCAGACACCCTTAAGGCAGCAGAGCCAGCAGCAGCTGAGCCCAGTTTCACCACACAGGAGAGCATGTGCTCCCTGCACAGGCAGGACAGGGAGCTGAGGACTTCTTGCCACCTCCTGGGCCTTCAGCTCCCACCACATCACTGCATATGGGAGCTTCACACAAGGGACATCCCACAGCAAACATCTCATGAGCAGTTCCACAACAGAACACCACAGGCACGACAGCAAAGTAACATCTGAAATTACATCTTTGATATACAACCCGCAATGGGCATTTGAAAAAAGAACCAGTACCTTTGCCTTTCTGCCTTGTATGAGCTTGTGAGTTCATCAAAAAGCTTGCCATTCATTTCCATCAGGGTTTTCAGCACATTGTACACCAGTGCCACAATGGTTCTAAAACAGAAGCAGCACAGCCATTAGAGTTACTCAATGACAAAATTAACTTCACTAAACAAGCGTTTGATTTCTTTTTTGGACTCTGAGTTTCTTATTCAAGCTACTACTGTAAGGTCAGTGAGTTTCTGAAACAAAATCCTTTTCATTTCATTAATTTACAGAGGAAATTATAGTATAGTTAAACATTTTTTGAAATAGCTATTTAACCTTAAATTCCTGACTTCTATAATATGCACAAGATACAATTATTCATGCTGTGGCTGTACTCTAAAAGCCATTCAATTATGTTAACCTTTAATAAACCAAGTTTTAACAACAACTTTGTAATATTTGAGTAATGAAATATGAGAGTCTAGAAAAATAAAACTTCTGGCTAATAGCTTCAAGAAGGCAGAGAAGCCACAAGAGTGTGGTTTAGCACAACCACACAAAACTCTCCTAGCAGCATTTCTGGGCAGCAGGCAGTGTTGCTGCACATGCCCCATTAGAGAACTGAATTGAGAACATCAGATAATGGTTTTGGG